GACCTTCAGCCAACTAGTACCGATAAGCTTATATGGTTTAGAAACAAACTGACCGATGTTGCCTATGAAGTAAAGAATGCGCCAATAAAAGAAAAGTGCGCGCTTACGAACAGACACCTACGAGCGTTACGCGAAGTGCGTGACAAGGATGTCGTTGTAATGAAGCCGGATAAGGGTTCAGGAGTTGTAGTCATGAACAAAGATGAATACATCGAGAAGATGAGCACTATACTCAGTGACACTAACAAATTTAAACGACTAGAGAAGGCAGGGGATGTGACTACATTGGAATCCCGAATCATTCGCCATTTAGAAATGCTTCATCAAACTCACGTGATCCACAGTGTTACTTATAACAGTTTAAAGCCGAATGGATCAACTATGCCACAGCTATATGGACTTCCAAAAATGCACAAGAGCGGAGTGCCGCTCAGGCCCATCCTCTCGATGACGAACGCACCCCAACATAAATTAGCTCGCTGGTTGGTTAATGTGCTTTCTCCGCTAAAAGCTCAGTTTAATCGATATGGCCTCAAAGATTCCTTCGAGCTTGTCGAGGATCTCGATCAAATGAACTTGTCCGATAAGGTGATGTGTTCCTTAGACGTGGAATCTTTATTTACTAATGTGCCGCTACACCAGACCGTTGACTACATCTGCGAATTAGCAGAAAGTTCCGAATGTCGGTTGCCGATTCCAGTTGAATTCTTAAGAGAATCATTACTTCTATGCACGGAGAATGTCGATTTCCACTTCCGAAACATACCGTATCGCCAAATTGATGGGGTAGCCATGGGCAACCCACTGGGTCCCATACTAGCGGATTTCTTCATGCTGATGATAGAACGAAGCCTATGCGAAGAAATAGCGCAGTTGCCCTATTACAAACGTTACGTGGACGATATCTTGGTGTTCAGTTCGACAGAAATGCAGATCGCAGAGCTAGTGGCGCGTTTTAACTCATCGCATGTCAATTTGAGGGTTTCCTGCGAAGTCGAACAACAGAACTGTCTTCCATATTTGGATGTTCTTATCAGCCGCAGGGATAACGGAATGGTAAAAAGGTCTGTCTATCGAAAAGCAACGTGGTCGGGACAGTATCTGCATTTTAGCAGCTTTACGCCAATTCGGCACAAGCGAACGCTCGTGAAGACCTTGTTTAGTCGCGCCAGACGAATATGTTCGACCGATTGTCTAGCCGATGAAATAGAACTAATTACCAACACGTTAATTGCTAATGGCTACCCTCGAAACTTTATCCGAAAGCACAGCGAAATCCGTGAAAAGAAAGTTGCTCTACCTACTGTGCCTAAGAAAAAGGTATTCCTAGAGCTGCCCTTTAAGGGTGACATTGCGTCTTTGAGGACCAGAAGACGTCTGATTTCCGCCACACAGAGCACTTTCTGTGCTGCCGAAGTTGTAATCCTTGACCGAACCCATAAGCTACCGTTGCCTCCACTGAAGGAAACCCAGCCTATTGGCGCCAACTCCCATTGTGTATATCAATTCGTATGTAACTGCGGGGATAGTTACATAGGCAGAACCAATAGAACACTGAGTTCCCGAATAAAGGAGCACGTACCAAAATGGGTTCAATGCGGCCTTAGTCAGCAAGCAAGCCCAAATCAGACTACGTGTGTACGCAGGCCGCCAGCATCTTCCATCGGCAGGCACTTATTGACAACAGGTCATCGAATTGAGGTCAACAAGGCGTTCACAATCCTGCTTCGCCATACTAATTCACGGCTCCTCCGGTTTGCCGAGGCGATTGCCATTAGTCGGATTAGGCCAGTGCTTTGTGTTCAAAAACAATTATCGATCAGCCTCAGGCTGCCCTGGTTGTAGACGAAAGACACCTTTTTCTCGCGTTTGTTTATATGGATGTCTATACCTACAAACTGTTATATAAAATTACCGGTTATCGTTATCGGCACTGATGAGACGATACGAAATGCATGCATCTGCCGAACTTCGTCTTCTACTTGTGCTTTTCAAGTTACTAAAGGGAACTAACTGTTTTAAACTAAAGCGGAGCCTACGTGCAAACAAGGAAGCCTGTTGGACCAGTTGGGTTCAAGAAATGCAGGAGGCAGGAGCAGTAGGCAATTACCGCAAGCTCTTAGAGCTAATCCGAAACACTGGTCCCAGAAAACCAGGCGTCAGTGAGACAATCAGAGACAGCGCGGGTGCACTGATACACAATAAGCAGCGCCGTATGGCTCGTTGGGCGGAACACTTTCAAGATCAGTTCAGCTGGCCCCCTGCTCCCGGACCTCTTCCTACTCAGATGATGCAGGACGAGCCATGGACGGTTAGTTTAGAGCCTCCGTCGGAGGCCGAGGTCCGAAACGCGATCACAGCCCGGATTCCCTCCCACCTGCACTATTTAAGGATGGAGGTGAGGTCCTCTGCAAAGCACTGACCTCCCTATTCGAACATAACTGGAAGGAAAAGTGTCCCGGCTGAGTGGAGCGAATCGATTATTTTGGTAATATACAAGAAGGACAGCCGCAGAGACTGTTCTAAAAACAAGGGTATTAGCCTAACACCAGTTGTGACAAAATTATTGACCTCGATTATCGTTCGTCGCCTCACTGCAGAACGGGAATCTCGGTTTCCGGCCAGGACGCGGCTGTATAGACAATATATTCACTTTGCGGCAGGTGCTAGAGCAGCGCCACGCATACCGCTGACCGACAATAGCTGTGTTCCTCGATTTCAAGAGTGCGTTCGATTAAGTCGATCGATCGATTCTGTTCGAAACACTTGTGCAGAAAGGTGTTCTCACGAAATATGTGAACATCCTTCGTGCTCTATACTCGAACATTACAGGCCGCGTCAGGGTCTACGGTGTCCTATCGGATAGCTTTCCGACTACAAGTGGCGTTCGACAGGGTTGTCCGATTTCCCCGTTTCTGTTCAATATCGTCGTGGATTCTATCATTGAGTGTTCACTTGCGGAATCTCACGATGTAGGCGTTGAAGTGCTGCCTGGTGGAATGTTAGTTGATCTAGATTATGCGGACGATATCGTCTTGCTTTCAACGACGTTGTGGTGGCACAATCAACCCTGAATAGCCTGTTCAGAGTGGTCCCATTATTTGGTATGCACTTCGCACCTTCAAAGTGCAAAGTGTCGTTGCAGGACCACCAGATACTCGATGATCCCTTGATGCTTGCTAATGAGGAACTCGAGGTGGTTGATCATTTCACTTATCTTGGCAGCTGCATCAGCAACGACGGGCGCGTGCAAACTGACGTCAGCCCACGCATTGCAAAAGCCAGAGCTACCTTCTTGAATCTGCGGCATCTTTGGCGGCACAAGGGAGTTTCCCTCCGTCTGAAAAGCCGTGTATACAAGGCCACAGTGAGGGCCGTTCTGCTCTATGGTAGTGAGACTTGGCCCCTTCGGTCTGAAGATCTGAGGGGTCTTCAAGTCTTTGATCATGGTTATCTACGAAGCATTGCTGGAGTCGGATGATACCAGCGTGTCCGCAACGATGATGTGCGCAGGCGAGTACTAGGTGATGATAATCATGCTAGCACCCTAGAACAACAGATAGCACTGAATACGTTGCGTTGGCTCGGGCACGTGCTACGTAAGCTTGGTCACCGCCTACCTAGGAGGGCCTTGTTTAGTCTGCCAGGTGTAGGGTGGCGCAAGGCTCGAGGTGGACAGAAGTTGACTTGGCAGCGGGAAATGAAGTCATTGATGACCAAACTGGGTGCCGATGGTCCGTCTCGCCTTCCGGGCTGCAGTCCACGTGACTCGCCTTGTGCTTGGCTCGAGACTTTACAGGACATGGCTCGCAACCGACACCAGTGGCTCGCCTGCTACCGTCTCCTAATCGGATTGCCTGTTTAAAGTGTGCTTGGTGCTGAGTTATCTGCGGGGTAATGGCTGCTTATGACGCGTGGTAGTGGAAGCCGCAAGGAAGTTGTCTCGCCTATGTCGCCTTACCTTTGCACGATAGCGAGCTGTTTGTGACGGTATGTTGTCTACACAAGGTGTACGCGCCTTGACCCTGAATGTTTGCTTAGGGCATTAATGTTTTCTCCTAAGTCCCCCTTTCTCTCCCTCTTCTTATTCTTTATTTCATAGGTCATCATGGTTGTATGGCAGCGAAGCATCAGTTCAAAAGGGTGATGTATTGCTGTAGTTGATGATATATCACCCGCTGTCTGCCACAAGTGCCGGAACCTGTAGCCAGGCGTCATCTAAGGACACGAGCACGAGAGACCCTGCTGCACTATGACAACGCACCTGCATACAGACCCAATGTCGTCGTAGATTTGCTGGCGAGATAATGCATCCAGGAGGTCGATCACACCCGTACAGTCCAGATTTGGCTCCGTGTGACATTTTTATGTACCCAAATGTAAAGCGCATGATGCGTGGAATCCGCTACGAGTTTCCAGAAGCTGCAGTAGGGGCCTTTGTTGAGCTGTATGAGGGGTTACCCACTTTGGTATGGTATAGCTGATTTTCTAAATGGTTTAAGCGCATGGAACCGTGCATGAACGCTGGTGGAGAATACTTTGAGAAAAGGTAATATTTATTTTATTGTAAAAGTTGAACATTTTGTGCATCCAGAACCTTTTGTTCTACCCTCGTACACGTAAATCGCGAAAAAAATAAGAAAGAGAGCAACCAGAACAAGCCATCGGAAACTGATGCTTCACAGTGCTGTAGCATAACACAAATTGGTGAGCAGGAAGAACAGCGATAATGGGTATACGTGATTGTCGCATTCCAAATGAGGCAGACACAACAGAGCAGCAATACACTTCGCAGCGTGTATATTTGTGCCCAAAGGATGGAGATCTGAAAACCGTGCAAACCGAGTGAAGATGAGGAGTCACCCCGGTAGCCCTACCTGCGGAGAGAAAAAGCTATTGCCTACCAAATACATTTGAAAAGAAATTTGAAAACAAGCTTATATCAGGTCCTCTATTAAGTCTAAAACATCACTACAGTTGGGGAACGTGACAAAACTTACCGTCTCGAAATTCAACAGAGCGTCAACGGCCTTCGAGCTCTTTTGATTATCCAGTTTGTTCATTTCGCGTCGGAGTTTTGTGCGCCACTCGGTAACAAGTACAGTAGCACCTGAAGAAAGGATGATGATGATAGTGCGACCGCGTCACGAGTTAATTGTCCTTAACGGGATGTGAAAGTTACATCGATAGGCATAGAACAGTGACCCAAACGTTGCGCGTATGAAGGAGCATATGAACACTGAGTGACATCGTAACCGAAAAGAGTACCGCTTAATGAAGAGAAGTTCGCATCGAAACCAATAGATTCAGACGAACATCCTTTGAAGTAGAGAGTCTAGATGTTGTTGGCTCTCAGAAATGCACTCCGCCTACGAAACACTATCGTAGTGTGGTGAGACTGTCTGTGTGACACTACAACCTGTTAAGGCACCTGGATTCTGCCCTCAGGTCTGCTGACAGCTACTCCTACAAGAGAAGTCGAAGGATAAAGGTCATATAGACGCAGTTGTCTGGATGTACAACCGGTGATTCGGCGTCCAATAATGCAATGTTGCCGCTCATCCACGAGTAACGTCCTCTGCTTTAATTAGGAGAGTTTGCTCTAGAGAACCGCGATAGTGTCTGTTAAGAAAGTGAACAGAGGTTGTTACGTGGGACAACATCGCCACTAGTATCATGAAGAATGCTGAGGACAACTGTCATTCCAACCATGATTTTTGCTGCACGTGTCAGATAGAGGAGGCAGAGCAGTAGAATATCCGGTCATTTAATTCTCACACGTCCTTGCTACGGTCCATTTGAGTGAGATCGCCGAGCACGTACTGCGACCATTTTGTCGAACACTCCTATTTGCCTTTTCTGTGTCGTGTGACCTCACGTTTAATCGGTAGATTGTTCGGTAGCACTGTCGGTTCTAGGCCCCATTAACTTCAGATAAAAGGCATATACTTCCAGATTGCAGGTCGAAACTTGAGTGACGACTATTGCTGCAAAATCAAATCATTACCATAGCTCCGTGGCAGTCAAGTATTTCAATGAAACGATTCATCTGGCAGCCCTAATCGTTCTTCTGCCCAAGCATGGGCACCATGGCAGAACCCCAGATCAGGTAAAACAGTGAATTTCTCGTCAAACCTCAGCCACGCCTCGTGTTGTCTAATCAACTACATACACTAAGATAGACAAGAGAAAATTTGGAAATGTTTCTCTCTTACATCCCCATCTGTTTCTCTTATTTCTCTCCGTATTCCCATCATTCGCTTTCCTTCCAATTTCCGATGTACTCCGACCATACACTTGTGCGTTCTAATCTCCGAGCGCATTTCGGTGGATGCCTGTGACAAGGCTGAGTGTACAGGCACTTGCCAACTGGTGAAGCCAATTGTTCCCGATGAGTATCGAAATACATTGAGATCCGGGTTGAGTAAGTGCCCATTGAACGCAGTTGAAGAAAACTCGTCGCATGTTCGTCCAACACCGTATTAGTGGCAGGTACGTCTTCATGTGACTAATCCAATTGCCAACCAGCGCATAGTTCGGGCAGAGTGAGGCTTCCGGACAAACTGTCGCTGTCTCAATATCTCCAGCAGTGTGAGACAAGGATGTTCGTTGTCAATTTCTCTTTTTAACTACGCTATTGACCAAGTTATGGAAACTGTTTCAACGGGATCAATGTAGGAGGTTTAGAGCTGCTTGACTTGAGGCAGACCGAGGATATTGTCTTGTTCTGGGAAAGGATGCCAAATCGTAAACAGCGCTGGACGGATAAGCACTGGCATTCAACTCTTGAGGGCTATACATTGTACCCTCCAAAAGCAAAATTTGGCTCCAGCATTGGAGGGGATCGAGCACTGTGATAATGCCAGGAGGGGGCCACTCAGAAGTCGTTCAGAAGTTCAAGCATCTGGAGAGCTACATCAGCGCATGTGAACTATTAGACGAAATGGCAAACCGTACACTAGAAGCTCGGGGCGCTTTTGCACAACTCCTCCATTTTTGGCGCCAAGACGATTTCACACGCATCTTAAAATTTGTAGTGTACGCAATTCTGACGTTTGTTTAACCCTACTTTGAGGCAGTGAAAGGTCATTCATCCGATCAACAAACGTAAATTGGCTCATTACGTAGGGCCACCGGTGCCTTCACAGTCTGGCTTACATTACCGGATGGGAATATCATATGAGCAATGAGCGTGGTCGGCGCAGGAAAAGCAAGTGAAGCGCTCAGAACCCAAGTAACACGGCCCAAGCTCCGGTGGCTTGGGCTGCGTTACTTGTGCTCGTAATCTGAGATTACTCACAATCAGTACCTCCCGACCGCCTATTTGACGTCTCAAAGACAGTAATGATGTTTTGCAGGAGACATGCTTGTCATGGTGATGAGACGGCTCCAATGGCAGTTGTGATGTAAGCATGGTTGTCTCTCACCGTCACGCCTAGCCCTCTGCATTCGAACCACGACCCCAATCTCCACTCGATAGAAAAAGTGAAGCATGATATCATTTGCTTGGTACCTTTTCGTCCCATTTGCTTTTTTCACTTGCCAACATTTAACTCAGCCGCATTGCGGAACAACAGCGGAGGTGATTCTAAGTTTCACTTAACTAAGAAAGCATCACCGAAAAAAATCACAGAATAAGTTTAGCGAGTAAACTATTTCCTGGATCAATACTATGGAATACAGAACAAGTTGCCGACTGACATTCACGTCAGTAAATCAGAGTACAACATTCGAAAAAAACGTTTCACAAATTCTTGACAAACCGCAGTGTAAACACAACCCTGGGCTGTTATGTAACCACTTTCCGCGCCTATGGTGAGCAATCTTGCCAATCATGTTGCAAAATCTGCCGTTACTATTAGACTCGTCTCGCCCTTCAGTGGCGCTTTTTAATTCTGTTTCGCTCTCAAAGGTGGGACCGTTTGCACATCGGTGGGTTAGACGCCTAGATATTAGCTGCTGTCCATTTCGGACCTCAATACTTCACCCCGGTTCTACTTGGCCCCATATGCTAGTAAAAACCCGCCAACAAATCGGTTGATTGGGCACCAAAATACTAGTAACTAACTCGTCCGTGAAAACTTCACATCAGATTCACCTGAGCGCACACACCGTTGGATAGTTAAACTACTAAATCATCGGCAGGATAGAGACTCAGATTCTGTTTAGCATATCTGGAACCCTTTATTGACTTGCTCCTAGTCTGAAATGAATTTGGCAAAGGTTTAAAAGGTATCTATCGGAATATCTTCTAATGAGCGACCCACGATAATTATGACCAAAGTCATTTTCCATATGCTAGAAGGACTACTCTGTACATTATACATGAGTCCTAGAACCCATCTGAATATGGCCTATGATTCCTTCTTCTCTTTAAGCACACAGCTCTCTTCGCCACTCCACATGTACTGTTTGATCTGAAAGCTAGCTACCTTTATCAGCTGTTCGCTCTATACGGATTCCGGAGCTGTGTATGGAACCGATCCCTATTGCCAATGAAAAAACAATTCCTTTACACCAGCAGGTTTGAATGAAATATGTACGTAATGATGAGGCTGAGCTTGTTGGATAGCACCTACCGCATTATTCATTTACTTATCCAAAAACTCCGAAGTAACTATCGCCGAGTGGCTCTGGAATATCGGCATAGGAAGTATAACGTGAGCACCCTACATGCGTTAGTCACAAGAAGATCCACTTCATTTCGGTCAGCCATGAACTACAGAGAACATTTCTGCTCCGCAATGCAGGGCAGTTCGCGACTTGCGCATGCGATATTCTGTTACCTCCAAAATTTTTGAACATTGTGACTTGCAAGTTTCGAAGTCCATGAAAACAATTGGATACTTATGCCATCATTTTTATCTCACGGAATCTTGCATCTGGATTTGCAAAACATAAATACTGCCTTGTAGGGAATACTGCTCATTGGTCCAATCGAATCTGGGAATATCTGATCAGCATGCATCGATGCCTCATGAAAAAGCTATGCGATAATTCCTCAAAGAGAGCGTTGTGATAAGCTTAGATTTGACCCAGTCTGGCTTCGGAGAATGAAGCTGAACCTATGTGCGAATAGTGTCTCGCAATGTCGAGAAATAAAAGATTAATTTGTTTTCTTCACAGAATCATAAATCACCAAATGCACAGTTCTAATGACGGCATTCATACGTCTTTAAACACTAGATACCCGACACGCAACAAAGAAACAAAGGTCACGAGCCGAAAGTTAACCATGTGAATCAGAGAACGTTTTTTCTACTCCACTACTCAAAGTTTCAGAACAAACTTCGAAATGCTACCAGAATATGTTGTACACGGTATAACTTTAAGTTTGCGATTAGTGGGGCTAACCGTCCATAAGGCGGTTAATTTGTTCTGGACATCATAATCCCTGGATAACGCATTCCAGAACGGCATCGATGGCGCTTGGCTAAACTATGAACAATTGTTGGACCATAGCCCCTGTAATGTCACACCATTTCTCTTGCCGGCTCGAACATCCGTCAGGTTTGTGAAGACAGATTGAAAAAAACCAGCACCGCGCAATTCGGATTACGTTGTTACATAAACCAGAAATTTATGCTCAGACTTAAAAAGTTTTATACAATGGTATGAAGAGGATGCAACAACTTGTGATCTGTTCCTTCGAGGGAACGCCTTCTGGCATCGTCGAGGAAAGTACTATTAATTAATTAGTTGTTGAATTATCTTCACGTTAAGAAAATGGTCTTGCTTAGCAAGCCCTTCGTATCCGCGCTTCGCTGTCACTCAGCCACAGAGGGCTGCACGTGTTTTGGGTTACTGTGAGATCGCCTGTACGCAAGCAGGCTCGAATCGGTGAATTGTGGAGCACAAGCCAAGAGTCTGAACCACTTCGTCGCTGGGCGCTACCCCCGGCCGAGAGTGTGTGGATTTCATGGACGCGGTCCGTCAACCGCCTGAGAACCAATGTATTTATCAGGAGCATAACACTGTTCCTGCCGTTAACTCGGTAGATCGGACTGCCTTATAGCAATGCTTGTTAAAAATGGGGATTTCCGAAGAACACATGGCTATCCTCTGTGAGGATGAGTGCTTATATCGGAGTTTGTACTTTTCCTTGATGCCAACTGCGTACGACAGCAGTTCCCTAGTTCCCGTCCCTGTACCACATCTTTTATGGATAGTCCGCATAGTTTTGGAAAACTTCAAGTACCCGTGCTCGGTTAAGGTTCACAACTCGTTCGGAGTTGTTTAAAGATGAAATTCCACCAGAATCGGGAATCGGTACTACAGGACTGATAACTGTCTGTTATCGTACTCAATCACGAAATGAAGGATAGTCGGGTCTGGTATAGGTCACAGGGACTCCATTCATAACACTGAAGTACTGTCAGCCTTAGCTAGACTAGGATTTGTATGCTATCGCCAGTGGCTTATAAAAACAAGTTTGACCAACGCCAGTACACGTAAGGTGCTGCGGTGTAAATGTGAAGACTGGTAGATTCCTGTGGGTGAAATCGTCAGTTTTCGGCCTTTAATCATTAGTGCCCGCAAAGAATAGCACGTGTGTGACGACGACACCTGGTTCACAAGGAAGATGTGGGTTCAAAGTTAGATATAGAGTATCCGCCGTGTGACTGGATTGCGACAAGCAATCTCGGTTCACTTTGAAGTCGACCGGTCATTCCGATCAAAAGACCGCATCCGAAGTGGAGGAGTTTCGGTGTTGCTCCTCACAACACTGACACTTCATAACCAGTTTCGTCCTCGTTTGGGCGCATCAGACGGAGATAGCCTGAGATGAGGTGGAACTCAGGACCTAGTGCTTACAGGCTAATGTCTTGACCATTATGTCACTAAGATGCGCGAGCAATGTTTGACACAAAGGTAAGGAATTCAAACTTGGATTTGGAGTACCCACCGTTTGGTTGGATTGCAACACGCAATCTCTAGCGAGACTTCGGTTCACTTTGATGTAGACCTCGGACATTCCGAGTACAAAGATCGTATCCGAAGTGAAAGTATTTCGGTGTTGCTCCTCCCAACCCTGACACCTCATAACCGGTTTCGTCCTCGTTTGGACGTATCAGATAGAGATTGCCTAAGCTAGGGTGGAGATGAGTGTCTAGTGGTTAACAGTTGACGCGTTGACCGCTATGCCCCTAAGATCCGTGAGCAACACTTAGCACAGCGGTAAGGAATTCAAACTTGAATTTGAAGTACCCGCCGTGCGGTTGGATTGCGACACACAACCTCCATTGAGACCTCGGTACAATTTGAGGTAGACCTCGGTCATTCCGATCGCAAGGAGCGTACCCGAAATGGAAGTATTTCGGTGTTGCTTCTCCCAACACAGACACACCACGACCGCGGTTTCGTCCTGGTTTGGACTCATCAGGTGGAGGCAGCCTGAGCTGAGGTGGAACACTGAGTCTAGTGGTTGACAGCTGACGCCTTGACCACTATGCCCCTAAGATCGGTGCGCAACGCTTGGCACAACGGTAAGGAATTCAAACTTGAATTTGGAGTACCCGCCATGTGGTTGGATTGCGACACCTAATCTCTATTAAGACTTCGGTTCAGTTTGAAGTAGACCTCGGTCATTCCGACTACAAAGATCGTATCCGAAGTGGAGGTGTTTCGGTGTTGCTCTTCCCAACCCTGACGTGGGTTTTCGTATCGTGATAGGTGCCACTGCTATGCAAGATCTCTAATTTCAGGAAGAGTGACTTGAACTTCAACTTATAGCCACGCCTGATGTGGTCAACCTTATTGATATGGATATAACTTCCAGTAATGAGTACATCTCTGGTATCGAGGTAGACAGTTGAAGACAGTAGAAAGACAATACCATTTTGGGAAACAGATGGCACAAATCAGACAACAAGCAAAATGTGGTAAGCACAACTGCATGAATCAAAACAAGTGTCTCACAGTCAGCTAAGGAAACACCAATGGGAAAACGTTTTACAGGTGTATCACTATGAAGTTTCCGAAACATAAACTTACGGTGGATGAGCAAAGCAACTTACCGACATAAACAGCCATGGTCGCGAATACCAAGGTGCCGTACCAGGCATTATACAACACGACAAAGTAGCCGACGCCCACAAAAATGTCAATGATGGTAGGCACGATATTGAACACCATGTAGGAAAGTATGTTCGATATGCTTGCTGTGCCTCGGTCCATGATGCGTAACATCTCACCCGTCTTACGAGACAAGTGCCATTGAAGTGACAAACTGTGCGAGGAACAATGTGGGAAGGGCGGATAGGTTAGATACTAGACGGATGATACACGCATTCATTCATTCATTCATTATACACGTTAGCTAGATGTGGGAAACACCTCAGCTACTGTGCCGCAATAAATAGAAAAGAAAAAAGAAGAGAAAAAATGCAACTGGTGCAAGCCGGCTAAGCTACCGGTAACGGATGGGCATCGTTCCGATAAGCTACCAGCCGGCTACTGTGCATCAAAAAACCTTACAATGCACAATTATATAAGGCTAAATAGTGGGATCGTGGTTGGAGGTGGAGGCTAAGAGAGACGGAGTGGGACAAAGAAACCCACAGTACGAACGCCAATGAGGTCGCCTCCTAGCCATATCAACAAGTGTATCCAGCCAAACGTGTTAATCCTCTTTCGGACCCCAACCAGGGAGCCGAGACGCTCCAACCGAGAACAGATCCGAAATGAGGGCCTTCATTCTTCTAGATCAAGTCATCGTTTGGGCACCCTCTTCTTGCATCCACACCCACGGCGCGCAAACAACGCATGTCGCGGGAGTCGGTGGGCTGGCATGCGTAACACGTTGCCGAGCCATCGGAGCCTGGTGCGTGAAATGACGGCGTTGAGCGGATCAGTTCCTTTTCCTGTGCCGTAAACAAGGCGCCAAACACGCTCGTTACTAACGCGGCGTTTCCAACAGATGTGGGCCAAATTACGAAGGCACCGGTGGTCGAACGTAACTAGCCTCTTCAGGTCCGCTGCTTTAAGCGGCCAGGTTTCACAACCGTACAGTAGGGTCGAACGTACTGCTGCATTGTACACTCTACCCTTCAGGGTGAGAGTGATGTCGCACCGGCGCCATAAGTGGCGAAGGTTAGCAAAAGCGCCCCGAGCTTTTGCTATACGGTTCGTGATCTCATCTTCAATCCCACGGGCGCTGATACAACGTCCTGGGTAGTTGAACTACTGAACGACTTCTAGCTGATCCCCACCAACGGTCAGCGAGAGGCAGTCCCCATCAATCTTGGAGGAAGGCCTTGTACTTAGATGGTGCAAAGCAAAACCCGAAGCAGCTAACGGCCAGGGCTAATCTGTCCAGTGCCGCTTGGCACGTCTGGGAGCTGTCACAGATTAGGGCAATATCGCCAACATACTACAAGTCAAGAAGTCGTTCTCCTGGGGGCAGATCCATACCTTC